ATCTAGAGAAGTCTCAAGCGCACAGGCAAGTGTGCATTCAGCAGCCTGTTGCTCTTTTTCTCTTCTCTCCGCTGCCCTCCCTCCTCCCTCTCCCTTGCCTGCTGCCTCCGCTTCCCCATTTCCCACCTGTGAAGAGCACACAGCCCCACCCATACTGTAGCCCTCCCGTTCCCTTTTCTTCACCATAAAATTAGCTAGAGAAGCAGAACCTAGAAGACAGCCCACTCGGGTCTCCTGAACCGAATAGTACCTTCTTTGCTTCTGCCTCGCTGTGCCCAGAGGAGTAACGCCCTTTCCTTTCTAAGTGAGCTGCTCCTGCCGGGCCCTGATGACTGTGGAGTCTGGTTAGAGCCCAGCCAGCCACCGCGGCACAGCAACCCACTCACGGTGCAGCATAACCCACCTAACTGGTTTGTGTCCCGGCCAGACGTGAACCTCCGTGAATGCTCAGAGCTGGGCCACAAGGCAGCCTTTAATGATTAACATGAGCTGCGCTGCCTTTTTCCTTAGGGCCCTTTATTAATGACCAAAGAAAGCACCTTACATTTTTCTCCTCTTACTGCATGTGCCCTAGATAAGAATTTTAAATAAAATTCAACCCAGTGAGACGAACAGCCATCCAATGATTGAAAGAAGTGCCCTGTCAGCCGGTACTGAACTGAGAGTGGGAGAACCAGAAAGCCCCCCAGACAGTGAGCTCCACTCATGTATGCCGGCTGGGCACGGGCTCCTAGTGAGCACAGGGGCCTGCGAAGAGAGAAGAAGTGACTTGCTCAAAGTCCTTTGGGGAAAGAGCTCATAGCCACCACATTCTCCACGGTTCACCGTCCCTCCTCACTTCACTCTCTGAACCAAGGAGTCCTTAACTTGTACCATCACCTTCCATGACAGTAAGTTTTTTGCCATTGGCCTGGCAGTCTCTTGATAAAGAATTGAAGAATCAGTAGACCCAGGAGGGTCAGTGCTACTACATGACTTAGGCTATATAGGACTTCTCTGTCCTTGTTCCACTGTCCATTCTGATTTGCACCACCTGTCCATCTCAGTCTAAAAACAGGAGGAAACAGGAGGATCATTATGAGTCTGAGCTGTAAAGTGAGACCCTGTACCAAATATACAAAATGGGAAAAAAAATTATGCCATATATGAGAACCTAATGACCTCAATTAATGAAAATGTTATGCACCATACCATGAGCTAAGATTAATAATACCAACAAGAATGAAACATGGGATAAGGGAATTGGAGAAGAGGTCACCAGGGGGAAGGGGATTTAAAAAGGAAC